CACGAGCGCGTAGGGTCACTACAAGATGCTGAATCAGCTCCAGGCAGGGTGCGGATCCCGAGGACGCGCGTTACTGGTCCTGCTCCGCGTAATGGACTCAAGGGTTAGGAGCAGAGGATCTCCGCAGCCCAAATCCGCAGAGCTTTTCCGGGGCTAATTACCTCTTTACTGCGCTGACTCTAATGTGACATGTTTATTGCCTTAACTAACAACTCATTAGCTTAGTTGATGTTTTTGTCAATATTAATTCGTTCATTTAAGCCAAGTCCAAGCTTAAACAAAGATGTCCAGGCTGAGAAACGGGCAGCAGAATGACTTTTGGTTAGTTCATCTTTTGCCTTAGCTCGATTTACGCAAGGTGGGTGTCAGCAGGAGCAGGGCGAGGAGGATTCTTAGGAAAAAGATCTAGATGATCTTTGAGGTCCCTTCCAACCCTAACCATTCTATGGTTCTATAAAAGGTGGGCGTATTTCATCGTAGCGATGTTTGAGTAGTCACACTTCTTACTAAGGTTCTTAGAGTTGAGACCTAAAATTCGTGCAAATTGGAGCTTCATCGCCTGCTACGCACTTTAAGGAGAAACTTTCAGGTTTTTTATTTACACACATGGAAGGATTTAACGTGGATTTCCTAGAAAACAGCACGGCTCGAAGGGAACCACAACACTGCCAGAGCCCTGCCCCAAAACCTGAGCGCCGAAATCATAAAATCACAGAATGGTTTCGGTTGGAAGAGACCTCAAAGATCATCCCCCCAAACCGGCACGTTTGGAAACAGACAGTTGTTTTGGTGGAGGTTTTTGCTGACTTGGGTCACTTCTTTTTGCCAGGATACAGGTTAAAAAATGTGTAATCTCACCATGACTTCTTTTAGCTGATGTTTTCCCAAGTTTAATCTTTTAAGCTCGTTTTTCTTGGCCATCCTTTCAAAATGATATAGAATCATAGAATCATAGAATGGTTAGGGCTGGAAGGGACCTTCAAAGGTCATCTAGTCCAACCCCCCTGCAAGGAACAGGGATATCTCCAACTAGATCAGGTTGCTCAGGGCCTCATCCAACCTGGCCTTCAACGTCTCCAGGGATGGAGCATCCACCACCTCTCTGGGCAACCTGTTCCAGTGTTCTACCACTCTCATGAAAGCGTAGACTGATGCGTCGTGGTAATGAGCCGCCGTCGTTGCCGTTGAGGATGCTTTAAAATTGTCGTAGGCAGAGTCTGGCCACAGAACCACGGCTTTTCCTTTCTCCCTGACTTTGGGAAGACCCTGCAGTTGTGAGCTTCTGCGCTTCTTGGTGAGATAAAGCCTTAATGGTGACTCAGGAACTGGTTTCCATACGACGTGTTTGGAAACACCCAGGCAAACCCACTCCTGTAGCTCTCTCCTGATGATCCCGTTCTCTCCGGCAGGCAAGGCGCTGACGTTCCTGCTGCTGCAGCCGCCCAGCCCCAAGCTACCCGCGCACAGCACCATCCGCAGAACCGCCATCGACCTCATCGGCCGCGGCTTCACCGTCTGGGAGCCCTACATGGACGTCTCCGCCGTGCTGATGGGCCTCCTGGAGCTTTGCGCTGACGCGGAGAAGCAGCTTGCGAAGTAGGTGTCTCATTTATTGGCTTCCCAACCCTTCGTATCGTTTCTGACCTGTGGATCTGGGTGTTGCAGTAGTTGGTTCTTGACAAGAAGGTGGGACAAGGAATAGCTCCTTGCTTCAAGTTTTGCATTTGAACCATAGAGTCATGGAATCGCAGAATGGGTTGGGTTGGAAGGGACCTCAAAGATCATCTAGTTCCAACCCCCCTGCCATGGGCAGGGACACCCTCCACTACACCAGGTTGCCCAAAGCCCCATCCAACCTGGCCTTGAACACTTCCAGGGATGGGGCAGCCACAGCTTCTCCGGGCAACCTGGTCCAGTGCCTCACCACCCTCAATGTAAAAAATTTCTTCCTTAGATCTAATCCAAATAATTTTTTATATCTAAAACACATCTGTCTGTCTTTAACATAATGGTTTTTTAGCCTTTCTGAACTGTAAAAATAGTATTTTCAGAAGGTATTTTCCACTGGCGTGTCTGAATATGGGGATTATTTTCCCCCTGGTTTTACAAGCCGTCCCGGTAGGATGTGAATTGTTTTGGAAAGTACGTTTTGGAAACGGCGGTTGGTTTATCAACAGCATCGCTATGAATAGCATCGAGGTAATTTGTAGATTTAAAGATTGCTCAGAAATCATAAACTCAATAGACCACAGCCTGTCTCTAGGGTCAGAGAACAACTTATTAAAGTGTCCTAAATCAAGATGTATACGGTGTGCTGTCTTGTACCTCCGTTCTAACCTCTTGGAAATAAAATCTTCTTTCAATTACGGATTTGTAATTGGGGTTGGGGTGGGCAAATTTCATAAGGAAGTCTGACACTTTGACATAAAGTACACAGGAAAAATGATCTACTCAGGGTTTTTTTTGTGTGTGTGTGCATGGAACAAATGTGCGTATTTGTTCCGTTTCTTAAAAATTACTACGAACGTTCAACCTCTAGTTGCGGATACTCCGGTACGTACGCAAGTTACACCCAATAGTGCCATGAGCTATCCATCACGCCATCAAATAATTATGATTAAGTCACATAATTGTGGCTAAACAGGTAAGTGAAGTCATTAAGATGACTCGTGTGATAGTGGCTTAACCTTTTTGGATTGCATTTTGTGTCAAAATAACGGGATTCTTGAATATCAGCGTTTGGGATTTCTTTAACGCGCGCAACTTTGCGGGATGTGAGTAGCGTTTTTGTTGAGTATCCACGGATTTTTATGATCTGAGGCCCAAATGTGATAAATTTCAGCCATCCACTTGGAAAACGACTGTTCCAAAAAATACTTAAATTTAATATTAATTTTCATCGCGGAAAACGTACAAGTCCTTGATCTTTCTTCTCATAAAACCTCAGCACGTTCTTGCTGTTAAGCAAGTTTATGTTCTTAAACGCTTGGACTGCGTGAGTATTCCCTGGGTTCTTTTAACATATTTCATCCTTAATTTTTCATTTCTGGAGTGCTTTGTCCCTAAGATTTTAATTAGTGGTGTTCCTTAAGTGTTAATTTGGAAACCGTTCCGTATCGATAAACCGTTCGTTAATGGGGAAACAATTTCTTGCCTAAAGGCTGACTGGTCAGTGCCGCTTTCTTTGCAAAAAATAATAATAAAAAAAGTGAAAATCCAGTGTCTGAAATTGCCGAGGTCATCGTAATTGATCATTCAGGTATTAATTTTACTGCCTGAATTATTGTGAAATGCGGAGGTTGGATTTTCAGCGGGTATTCCATTTTTATTCTAAAATTGCTCCGTTTTTTTCTGTTGCAACATGTGAAACTGTAGAAGATCCTTTATGATTACGACTGAAATCTTTATGAAATATCATCATTATAACCATTATTGTTAAGTGTTTATTTATATTTTTGAGTTACTTGAATATTTTTTATTTTAATCCGGAATTTCCGTTGCTGGTAGCAGTAACGACACCGTGAGCACTTTGACACACTCGTAGCATTTAACCTTAGAACTCAGTTTCAGATCTTACCGTGCAGAAAACTGCTCTATTATGCATGAATTTGGGTTTATAAACGTTATTTATGAGCGTTGATTTATGAACACACACACATTTTAAACCCCTCATGCCAAAGGGAGCTGACCTTAATGCCGTTTTGTCGTCCCTCTGGGGGAGGTGTGAAGGTTTCTGACTTTCTTTGACGTTATACTGGGGCAGATATTACCCATTCTATATAAAAATTTGGATTTCCTCGAGATTTAAGGGATGAAGGATTGCTGGGAGGGAGGGTGAGTGGAGAAATACGTAGCAGCTGGAGGAACGTTGTTATTCGTCTGCGATTGGACATGGACTGGACATGGACCAGTTGGAGAGGGTCCAGAGGAGGGCCACGAAGATGGTAAGAGGGCTGGAGCACCTTTCCTATGAGGACAGGCTGAAAGAGTTGGGGCTGTTCAGCCTGGAGAAGAGGAGGCTCCGGGGTGACCTTATAGTGGTCTTCCAGAACCTTAAGGGGGCCTACAGGAAAGATGGGGAGAGGCTGTTCAGGAGGGCCTGTTGTGATAGGACAAGGGGTAATGGTTTTAAAATAGAGGGAGGTAGATTCAGGTTGGATATTAGGAAAAAATTTTTTACCATGAGAGTTGTAGAACACTGGAACAGGTTGCCCAGAGAGGTGGTGGATGCTCCATCCCTGGAGACGTTCAAGGCCAGGTTGGACGAGGCCCTGAGCAACCTGATCTAGTTGGAGATATCCCTGTTCCTTGCAGGGGGGTTGGACTAGATGACCTTTGAAGGTCCCCTCCAGCCCTAACCATTCTATGATTCTATGATTCGGTTATTTCTCGTAGCGGGCCAAAAACAACCAGAAGGTTTTACCTTCCCAAAAGAACCTCCCAAACCCCGTTGTGCGTAAACGGAGACTTCCAGAAGCGGAGCGAGCAGCGCTCTTCGGAAAAACCATTCATCCTGAGCTGTCAGCAAGATGAGTCTGGCTCTCTATCCGCAGAGCCTGGAATAAATGAATGGATCAGCGTGGAGCCTCGAGGAGCCCGGTGCAATTTTCGTCGTGATAAATTGCATAATAAGCGAGAAAAGTGTTTGCTTATTAATCCGTAACAAGATTTAGATTGAAAACGGCCCGTTACGCTCGTGACGGATACGGTGCCGACCGCGGAGCGCTGGAGATGGAAAGAGACGGAGCAGCGGCGGGCGCGGGGGGTTAAGTGGCATCTTACCACTCCCGCCGCCCCGCTGAGCTCCCCCCTTTTTTGTGCCTGATTTACCGTGGACACAATAACAGTGCCCAGCTGCTGGCCTGCTCTCCCTGATGTTAGCAACGTTTTATGAAAGAGCTTTTATGTCAAGCTTCTGCTTTTTTTCCCAAAAAAATATAAAAAAAATAAAAATCGCTTCGCGTTTATTGACCGCAAAAAATAGCAGGGGAAAAATTTCTTTTTTTCCCTTCGGAATTAAAGAAGTGTCTGAGTTGTTAGCCAAAATTCTGGGGTTTATAGACTCTTCCACGTTCCCAGTTCATCCTGGTCCCCCAAGATGATGCTCTGCTAGCCTGCCATGCCGAATGGAGCTGCTCAGTCGTGAGGATTAAGAGTGTTTTTCTGGCATTTATTAGGCTTTGATTTCTTGGATAGGGATCGTTGCTGTCCGTTGTCTCCGCTCTTTGAATTACAAACTGCAGTTGGATATGGATTAGGATATAATATACCAAAATTAGCAAATTGCTTCCGAATCGATCCGTATGTTTTTATATGTATGTGTGTTCTAAAATAATCAGGCTACTCTTTATTTTTGATTGTGCTTGGTGGAAAACTTTGCTCTACTTCCATATTCCTACAGATTCTATCCGTGGAGCCGTAGGGTATGTAGGGACATCCTAAATTTTCAAGTAGGTGGAACATTTTTTAGAATCTAACCTGAACATTTGCTGAAATGGAGGGGTTTAAAGGAGAAATGTGAGCTGGGTACTTGGTCCTAAAGGTGACACAGCAAGTTACCGCACGCTGCCGCCGCAGAAATGATGTAAACCTGGAAATAGCAGGGATTTGTGTCCGTGCCAGTCCAGGTTTTCGACCTTTGATGGCAGGAGGCTGGAGCTCAGCCCAGGTGAGCTGCAGCGGTATCAGGCAAAGGGCAGTGGGCTGTGGAGGCTGAGGAGGAGGAAGAGTTGAGAGTTGTAGAACACTGGAACATATTCCCCAGAGAGGTGGTGGATGCTCCATCCCTGGAGACGTTCAAGGCCAGGTTGGACGAGGCCCTGAGCAACCTGATCTAGTTGGAGATATCCCTGTTCCTTGCAGGGGGGTTGGACTAGATGACCTTTGAAGGTCCCTTCCAGCCCTAACCATTCTATGATTCCAAGAGGAGCACCATACATTCTGGCGTTGTGCCGTGGCGGAGATTTGGTTCCTCCCATTGGTTCCGCCGTCACGTCAAGGCTGCCTGTGTCAACAAGAGTGGTTTTGAGGTGTGCTGATGTCGGGGTTTCTGTTAAATAAGGTGGGATATGCCCATCTGCCCTTTTTTCCCCTCCTTCTGAGCTCAGAGCATCTGCAGCCGGAGGAGGTGGAAGGTGTTTGGCAGAACAACGGGATGGCCCCTTGGCACATCCCGGGGAAACGTGTCCTTCAGTGCCATGAAGTTTACAGGTTAATACCTTTTTTGTTACTTAATCTCTAAGTCAACCAGCAAAGAGAAAGGGTAGCTCAGGAGAGGTTTCGGTGCATTCTCTTAACGTAATTTTTCATGGCTTAGCAAAATCCGTGAGGAATTGCAGCGTACTGGAAGGGTGGACTGATACCAGGAACGAGCAAAAGGAATGATCTTTCTTTTGGTTTGTCTTGTGTTTCTTTAAAAAGGGAAAAAGCCTTCTAGGGCTCCTGCTTGGTGGCAGGGCTGGAACGCTGCCGCGCCACAACGCCGCTGATTAATCCGGTACCCAACTTTGCCCAGAGGAGTTGTGGCTGGCCCAAAAACAGGCCAGGTTGGATGAGGCTTGGGGCAACCTGGTGTAGTGGAGGGTGTCCCTGCCCATGGCAGGGGGGTTGGAACTAGATGATCTTGGAGGTCCCTTCCAACCCAAACCATTCTATGATTCTATAACCCTCGTTGCCCGAGCTGGGTTCTGCTGGGTTCTGTGCTCTTGTGTTCAGACACGGATCAGACGGAGCTTTACGTGTTAAATGATTTCCTAAAGGCACCCAGTTGTTGGCCCGGAGAGGTCCTCGCGCTCTGGGCCCATGGACTGGGAGCACCTTGGGCAGCCCATGGATGGGTGGGAGCACGGGAGGGACTCGTAGGGTTACTGGGTAATTTCAACCAGCGTAACGAAACTGGGCTCTGCTCCAGCAGTGATAGTTAAACCGGGATGACTTTCAGAAAGGAAGCTTTCAGACAAAAATTAGCTTCTGCGTTGTCTTTGTCAGGCACATATGCTGTCAATTACCAAACACCAGATTTATTTTTTTTTTTTTTCTTAATGTAGTTATGGGGTACTCACCATCTTATTGTTTCTTGCATTTCTCTTGTCACAGCAAATAAAAGCCTTGTGTATGGAAAATTTAGGTGGCAGTTAATCCCTTAGTGTTATTCAAAGAATTGCACTTAAAACCTGAGTGTTGGAAATTCTAAAGAGCTTTTGAATAATTTCGGTCATTAGGAAGCGTTGGGTGAGGGACTGGCTGTCATCTCGTCGTGCCGCTGCAACTGAGTCGTGCAGGAAAGAACATCAAGCTGAAGAGATTTGGTGGGTTTAGTTCTTCAGGAAGCTTCTTGCTTTGCTCTCCTCTAACCAGCACTTAGCTGAAGGAAGGAGAATTACTCCAAAGAGGGTGTTTTTTCCAGCTTATGTTTAAAGTGCTGGAAAAGGATGAACTGTAAACGCCTGGGGAGACGTTCTGCGTCTGCCTCGTCCTCCGTCGGGCGGTACGTATCCAACACGTACAGATAATTTGTTAACAAGGTCTTTTTAACACTTTGGACAGATGCACATACTGTTTTCAATCTTCATGGTTAATTATTCGATTCTGTATTTGATGATAGAACACCCTGACTCCTAATCACCGCTCATTGTTGGGAGTCCATTATCTTGGAACTGTCGGAGTGCTCCCGTTGACCTTGAACTGACTGTTATAAGCTGTTTCTAATCTTTTTCACTCTATATTTCTAATGCTCCTTTTCTTTCTCCCCTCTTTTGTCTGCTGCCTGTTTAGCATCACAATGGGGCTGCCCCTGAGCCCGGCCGCCGACTCGGCCCGCTCCGCGCGCCACGCGCTCTCCCTCCTCGCCCCGGCGCGAAAAAAAAACCACCCACAAGGGGGGGGGGGGGCCAGCAAAAAAAAAAACCTGGTATGAAACAGCCACTTCACACTTAAAGGTGTAGAAGTATGTGGAAATTATGTGATCGAGCCATCTTGACTTGTAGTTTCATGAGATTAAGAGTTATTCCAAGACTTTATTTAAACACTCCATCAGGGATAACTATTAGTGGCTCTACTGATGATGAGTAACGAGGGAGGGAGGAAGAATCCCTGGGTCTGCAAGTAAAGCCAAGCATTCTGCACAGCACAGGCTTTCTTAACGTAGCACGTGCGTCCAGCTGCAAGCACAGCTGGAGAATGTTTAGAGAGTCCAAGTCCCCACGTGTCACCCTGCTCTTCGGTAGGTGCACCGGCACACCGCCCTGGCAGCCAACACGCAGTCTCAGCAGAACATCCACACCACCACGCTCGCTCGGGCCAAAGGAGAGATCCTGAGGGTCATCGAGATCCTCATTGAGAAGATGCCCACCGACGTCGTGGACCTGCTGGTGGAGGTAAGGCTGCTCCGCCAATTGTATTTTCAAGTTAGATATCAAAGATGCAGCCAGGCACAGAAATTCTCTATTTTTTAGCCTGTCGGAATTTTTATTATGAAACATAAAATACCATATGTCAAATGCTTTTAACTTTTGTTTCCAAGGTTATGGACATCATCATGTATTGCCTGGAAGGATCTTTAGTTAAGAAAAAGGGCCTTCAGGAATGCTTTCCAGCCATCTGCAGGTGAGCTCTTCCTCTAAAAATACTGCGAAGAAAATCGTAGGGTCACCAACAGGATATATTTCTTTCTTAAGAGTGAAACAACCTTTTACGTGATGCTTGCCCCTTGAAACAGCAAATGTGAAGAGTGTTCTAGATCACCCGTAAGCCTTGGTAGGCTTTGAGTTCTCTGCAACATCTGACAGAGATAGAATCATAGAATGGGTTGGGTTGGAAGGGACCTTAAAGATCATCCAGTTCCAACCCCCCTGCCATGGGCAGGGACACCCTCCACTACACCAGCTTGCCCAAAGCCTCATCCAGCCTGGCCTGGAACACCTCCAGGGATGGGGCAGCCACAGCTTCTCTGGGCAACCTGGTCCAGTGCCTCACCACCCTCAGAGGGAAGAATTTCTTCCTTGGATCTCGTTGACATCTCCCCTCTTTCAGTTTAAAGCCATTGCCCCGTGTCCTGTCACTACACGCCCGTGTCAAAAGTCCCTCTCCACCTGTGGTGACAGGCAGCTGGGTAAAATAACAAGTAGGAATTGGCACAGAATCCCTGGGAAGGGGGAGCGCGGTGGCCATCTTGTGCTGCCGTTGACTTGCCGAAAGGCATGAGTGGGAGTTGAGGTTCTGGCTCCTGCCGAGCTTCGTTGGGAATTCAGCATCATCAGTCGTCTTTGTCTTGAGCCAGTTCTACTTCAAATGGTACTTTCAAATAGTAAAACGTGATTTATAAAATGGGAACATTTACGGGATCTTTAGACGCTGCTAAATAGCCCAGTTATGGTATTGAACTGGTACAACCAATAAATTATAATAATCATCTGTCGACCGTTACGTCTTAATTTAATAAGCTATTAAAATCCCGAATCGTTTCAAGAAAAGAACAATTATCCTGTTGACAGGTAGGATACTGATAGAGGTAATCTTCCTTCTTCCTGATGTTTTAAAAGGCTTACTTGAAAATATAACTGCAAGGCCAAGTGGGAATTAGTGGGAAAATCTCCCTATTCCTGTTGGATTTTTATAGTTATCTTACAATTTTGTTAAATTACTAGTAATATTTCCTATTCTCCGTAGTTATAGCCATTATAAAAATGATACAGCACCCCAGCGGTGCGATCGTTCAGCCCGATGGAAATTCTCATCGGATTTTAGCAAATGGGTTGAGCCTCTGGCGCCATCCCAAGTTGGAAGCATCCCATCGACGTCATCCCGTCGTTAATTCCTTTAATCCCACAGTGGGGTTTTTTTTTTAACCGTCGGACAAACGTAGCAGTCGTGCCGGTGATGGCTGCGTGCGTGACTCGATGCCGATGGGTGGCGGTGAGGTCGATCCGTCGCCGTGGATGTTTTTGGATATCCTATCCTGATTTCCCTGCCCATGGCAGGGGGGTTGGAACTAGATGATCTTGGAGGTCCCTTCCAACCCAAACCATTCTGTGATTCTATGATTCTATGATCCTAGAGCATCCCATTCTGGTGCCAGTTGGGTTTTCCCATGAGTGGTCTTCTTCCCAGGGGATCGTGCTGCCTTTCTGGCACGCTCTACGCAAACCGGTTTCTTTTCGGAATAAAAGAAGTGTCGAAGTACGATGAGTTTTATCTGGCTCTTCACTAGGCCAGAAGGAAAACTGAGAATTTTAAGGGTTGGACAAAGTGAGGTCATACGACAAAATGACTATTTGTGGGATTTGGGAGTCTGTAATTGGAGGAATCAATGAGCTGAGGTGCTGTTGCAGTGATGCTCAAGGGAGCTTGGAGCTTCATTCTGGAGGAGGAAAAGACGAGAATAAAATGTGAAATAGGACTGAAGAAATATCAAAATTATAATGCAGGGCCCCTCTGGCTATTGAAGTTTGAAATTAAAATTTAATGCTGCCATGATGTTAATCAACAAATCCTTTTTCATGAATATTTAACATTCCAAAAGCTGGAAGAAGGGATCTGTTGGGCGACGGGAGTTTCTCAGCAGAGCAGTGATGGGGCAGCACCCAGGGCTGGGGATAGGGATGGGGCAGCACCCAGGGCTGGGGATAGGGATGCAGCAGCTGGAATTGCAAAAATGAGTCAGGTTTTTTGAGGGAATTAAACTCAAAACCATCTGTTTCCTTGGAGTTTTTTTCCCCACAAACCCTCTGTTGTGATGGAGTCTGATGGATTCTTCTTTTCCGAGAAAAATCCTGACTCAGCGCTCTTGTCGAAATGGGCGTTTAAATGCAGTAAGGAGAGAAATGCTGTTTGCTTGCATCAAATAATTTTGTGATATTCTCTTCTCAATCTATTGGAGGAGACAAGTGGACTTGTGCTCATGTGGTGATGTCATAGAATTAATGGGGATATAAACCATTTTCTAGAGAAATTTTCTGTTCTAGTCCATTTTACTCGTAATGATCAAGCAGCACGTGGGGTTTTGTGAGTTTATTTATAAATCCTGAGTTTGGTGGTTGTATAAACCAGCCTTTTTCTAAGCATTCCTTTTTATTGTCTTAATAATAGGGGAGAAAGTATGATTTCTTAAATAAATAGGAAATAATAATAATGTTATGTGTCTGCCACTGGCCAAAGGAATAGGAAAAGCAGATTGGTGAGGCAGATGGTGGCTGCCAAAAAAGTAACAGAGATGGTGTGTGGCTTGGAAATATTTCCTGTCTCAAGAAGAGGGAGTGTTGAAAAGCTCCCTGTCGTCCTGCTTGTACGCTTTGGGGAAGGCCACAGCACGTGGAGTATGAGACAGGACATCTGATGGCTTGGAAGGCTTTCGTGAAGGCCTTTGTGATGTTGGTTGGCCATGCC